AAATCTTCATTTTCCAAGAGCTACACAACAAGCAAGAATACTATTTACCGACAATATACAGAACGGGTTCACTGTAGTGTCAACTATTACTAGCATTTTAGCAAAAATAATCGGGAAACTTTTGAATGTTGCCTGAGTCGCAGACGCTCTAAACCTTCTGTATGTAGCGTCTGCGAATTAGTGCACAATATCGTGTTCGAATCCCGCAGAGTCGCAAGGACATATGTCGGCGTTTTTGATTGGCTAATTTCTTACACAGTTTGTGATTAGTCCAATTTGAATTAAGTGTTGAAAAGCCAAACACAACTAACAGCTCGTGACAAGAGAGGCGGAGCTCGTGATAGTGTGAAACGTGACCTTAGAGTAGTCCGTTTGAGCAACAGAGAGTTTTCTTGCTCTCTTTTTGCGTAGTTTATGCAGTGCGTTGAGTATTCTACACTTTGACTGAGCAATTTTTTTTTCCGCTTTGAGTCTCACATTTAGAGGTTATGACGCTGATTTGATCACAGATGCAGTTTACCATTAAAACATTTTTCTTTTACCTCTGCTCAAGCCTTAAACTTTTTTATTGCGGCTAAATAACCTTAGTTTCTTTGTTTTTCTCCGAAATGCCTGGACCTGAATAGCTACATGTGTGTACTTTTTTTTCGCCGTGAATATCATGATTTCCTAATTTGCATTGACTCTAGATCTGTCGGCTAGATTGCAGAATACGCGGCAGTGCATCTGCAGCGTTTGGAAGACGCTGGGAAACCAGTCGGCAAATTTACAAGCAAATTATGGCCTTGAAGGAATTCTCTCAAAGCATTTTTTTTTTGTTTAGAAGACGGCTTTAAAGTTCGAACTGCTCTTTCATTGTTTACGGTAAACGATCTTTGCCGACTCCTTTCTGTGAATTTAGACATGTCACTGCGCCCAACCGTCACGCACACGTAAGAATTAGGCCAACCGTGAGGCTGATAAGAAACACGTAAGAAATCCGCCTATCCGAAACGTTCACGTATGTCCTTGCGACTCTGCAGGATATTAGAACGAGCTTTTGTGCAGACGGTGCGTGGGCCGGCTGCCCGGGGGGGGGGGGGGGGAAAAAAAGGCATTCCTTATATTTTGGCAAAAATAATGGTGAAACTTTGGACGTGGATTCCTTTGAGTATATACCTAATTCATCTAGCTTCATCTCGTTTTAATTTGGTTCTTATTTCTCTTAATCGAAACGAGGTTTCATGACATTTACCTTTTATAACAGTCCCAAATTATACAACCAACACACCTTGACGCGTTGCCCTGAACACAGCTCGATACAGAAAGGCAGTGTTCAGTGCACTGTGGGTGCAGCTATTATTGTTTGTTTGTAATGTAACTTATTATCGCCGTAGTTCCAGAACATTATTTTTATATAGGCAATTGCTTGCGTGTCACGTGGTAGGCTCTCGGCCAATGAAAAGAAAAATTTGCTTCGAATGATAATGATGAAAGATCAGCTAGCAAGATGACAACAAATATGGTGACAAAGCGTGTGCATGAAAGAAGTAAATTGCAACCTTATCCCCTAGGGCTTTCCCTTAAAAAATGGAAGGGGCCTTGCCTAGTCCCTAGGCCTCATTATTCCGCGCGGCCAAAGCGTTTCGGTTCACGTGCATACGTTACCGAAGTGAATTGACCGAGAAGGCCTGGGAAAACGCCATACAAGGACTAGGCAAGGAGAGGCCCATGGGTTGAAAGTCCTGCGTTGGGTTGAGGTTGTGTTAATTGATATCAAACTGAGGTTTGGTGCCGAGCCTTGTGCCGCACATTTATATATAAGTAACAAGGCTACAAATTGACGTCATTTAATTTGCTGCCTCGTACACTGCAGTTGTCGTCGGCACTTTAGTCATCTAAAATCTCCCAAAATGAAAGTAAAAATACAAATTAAAAACTGCGCTTGATGAATTTTTATTTTGCCAAAAACAATATTAACATAAATAACAGCTAGGGGTTTATAAGGGCCGTTCTGTTATAAGGAAAAAAATGACACCCCTTATAATTTAATAGTAAAAGTCGACATCAAGTCCAAGTTCTGAGAACTAGCCTTTCTTCCTCGGAAAACTTACTTACGATTGTAAAACTTATTCTGCAGCTCTACTCTGTTCTTCAGTGCTGCTCCAGCTTCTAAGAACTGGCTCCTCTGTTGTCGTCAACCAGGTTGATCGATGGTCTGTTCCTTGTGGATGAACGAAAATACGATGATGTTATACATCATAAAGCGCACGCTTTGTAAGCAACGCGATTTGAAAAGCGATTTGAGCACGCTACGTGTGGATGTGTAATTTTTCGAAAACGGAGGAAAACATTTCCGTTTTCCAAAATATTTGGATACGTGTAGACTAGGCCAATGTTTGCACTAAGAAAAGCTTAAGAAAAGCACGCTTGGGTAATTGATGGAAATTAAATTATTGAAAAAATGCGTCGATTCGTTCTGTCACGCTGATTATGTCCCAGTTTGGAGTATGTTTAAAAGTCATGATGATTGATCAAATAGACTACATACTCTTTGGAAAGAGATTAATATTGAAAGATGAACAGTTAAGCTACTTGTAACTCTTGAAATGCAAAAAAAAAACCGTTGCACCAACAGAAAAACACAACCAATTTTACTGACCTACGGGACAGCTGAACGGTAAATCTCCTCTTACTAGCTATAGTTTAGATATTATCGAATCTAGCTCGGTGGTTCTCTGATGTTCGTGTACCATTACTAGCGGTATCCATTTTAGTTACCCTTTCAAAAATTTGCAAGTCACTTCAAGCCCACAAAATATTACTGTCTTCACTTACGTCTGCAGAATCCGCAAAGCTTAACGAATCCTCCAACCACGAGTATAAGCCTATTATTGAAAACATACGGCGGTATTCAAATGCGTACTTGACTGATCATCCTTGATATTTTAACAAGACTTTATCGCAGTTGATCCAATTTAAGGAATCACAAACGATTCGTCCATCACGTACGCACAATTTTGTGATATGCTCTTCCCAAATTACTTTATTTTCCGCTTTGAGTCTCACATTTAGAGGTTACGAAGCTGATTTGATCACAAATGCAGTTTACCATTAAAACATTTTTCTTTTACCTTTGCTCAAGCCTTAAACTTTTTTATTGCGGCTAAATAACCTCAGTTTCTTTGGTTTTCTCCGAAATGCCTGGACCTGAATAGCTACATGTGTGTACTTTTTTTTCGCCGTGAATATCATGATTTCCTAATTTGTTTTGACTCTAGAACTGTCGGCTAGATTGCAAAATACGCAGCAGTGCATTTGCAGCGTTTGGAAGACGCTGGGAAACCAGTCGGCAAATTTACAAGCAAATTATGGCCTTGAAGGAATTCTCTCAAAGCATTTTTTTGTTGCCCCCGCAGGGATTTCGCCCGAGGAGGCACCCTAGTAACTCGCGCGTACATTAAGGACAGTACTTACAGTTCAAATATACAGTCAGTATACTAGAAAAAATCTCGATTTGCTCGGACTGGGGCCGCGAGGAATCGGTAGGTAATGATGACGTTTCTAATTTGTTTGCGCCCGCAAGTACGAAATGGTTAGGATGACGTAAAGACAGAAAATCATGAAGGGACCGTTCGGGTAGATTTTGTGACATTTATTGTGCAGTCATACTTCGATACTCTTTTGCGTTACGCAGTGACATTCTGTGGAGCAGTTGTTTTGAAAGTTATGGACCAAAAGACACTCGTTAAGCGCAGGGGAGGTTATAAGGTGCGTTTAACAGTGTATATATAAACACTTGAAGAGTTTGCCAGACACGAGTTCACAAATCTTTGATTTATATTGGAACCTTGCCAGACACTCTTTCTCTCTCTTTGGCCGGAATTAGACTCAGCCCCAAACAAGCAAGACGGTGAACCACGGCTAGCTTATCACTAGCAGATTGATGGACATTTACAGAAATTCGCCGACAATCAAATTCTGTGCTGACTTATTCCCTGCTCACAGATGTCCTTCCGTTATAAAGTTTCAAATAAGACTAGAATGCGCGAGCGTGAATCGATCAAACGTCCTTTTAATTTCTAAGGCTTACTTTCCGGCAAATAAAATGAACTGAATGTAAAAAGTGAAAGAGAAATAGCGAAAAATTCAACTTCTAATGAAATCTTTTCTTATGGTTTAGAATAAACTATTCTCGAAACTGAGAATGTTTTGATCAAAGCTGTGTAAATCGAGCTGAAACTGTGCATGGAACCTTGCGTTTCTTGTATTTATCTCACCTATTGTATGGAATATGTGTGAAAATCTTCATTATGAATCGGTATATTTCAAAGAGCTACACAACCAGCAAGAATACTATTGACCGACAATAATTTAAAAACAGAACGGGGGCAGCTGTAGTGTCAACTATTACTAGTTTAGAAGACGGCTTTAAAGTTCCAACTGCTCTTTCATTGTTTACGGTAAACGATCCTTGTCAACTCCCTTCTGCGAATTTTGACATGTCACTGCGCCCAACCGTCACGCACACGTAAGAATTAGGCCAATCGTGAGGCTCATAAGAAACACGTAAGAAATCCGCCTATCCGAAACGTTCACATATGTCCTTGCGACTCTGCAGGATATTAGAACGAGCTTTTGTGCACTAATTCGCAGACGGACTATACAAATGGTTTAGTCGAGTGCGTGGGCCGGCTGCAAAGCAGGCTATTGAACGTGGATACGTAACAACACAACTCTTTCCTTCTCGCAAAACTTGCATGATTTTAAACATTTTTAAGCTCTGTTCTGTTCTTCAACGTTGCCACTCTAGCTATTAGTGGAACAGTGCAGAATTGAGCTCTTTTGTTTTGTTAAACAGGTTGATCGGTATAAAAACAATTTGAATCAGTAAACAAAGAAAGATTTATCACTTAGCAGGTTAGTTGATTAACAAACTTACCTACAAGAAAAATAATAAATACACACAGGGAAAAAGAGCGAACTTGCAGGTGGTCAGTTCATAGTGCAACCAGACGAAAATGGCAGAACTAACTAATATTACGGAAGATGAGAACCAGAAAACATTCGAAGAACAGTCCTGCTCGTCAGAATTTACTGAAGGGGTACATGGTGAGCTGGTCTTTCTTTCAGCTATAAATGTCTTTTTTTCTGTTGCTGCATTTCTTGGGAACACTCTGATCCTAATTGCCCTACACAAAGAATCTTCACTTCATCCGCCGTCCAAACTCCTGTATCGTAACTTAGCGGTCACTGATCTCTGTGTTGGCATCATTGTGGAGCCTCTGAAAGTCGCTTCTTGGATTTCGATGGTGAACAAAAAATGGAGGATTTGCTATTACGTAAGCTTAACAAATTCTCTCTCAGCCTTACTTCTGTGTACGGTGTCTTTATTTACACTAACTGCGTTAAGCTTGGACAGACTTCTCGCTCTTTTTCTTGGACTTAGATACAGACAGGTTGTAACTTTGAGGAGTATCTATATAACTGAAGTTATTCTGTGGATTTTGGCCATTATCTTCACATTTATCTACGTTTGGATTCCTTTTTTTCGCTTATGGCTTTTTAGAACAGTACTTCCTATCTGTCTGGTTACCTCGGTGTTTTCTTACACAATTATTTTAGTTACTCTTCGTCATAACCAAAATCAAGTACAAAACCACATTGGTCAAAGGCAACCGAGCCAAGCCGTTGCCCTTAACACAGCTCGATACAGAAAGGCAGTGTACAGTGCACTGTGGGTGCAGGTGGCATTAGTTGTTTGTTATTTGCCGTCCTTTATAACCGCTGTAGTTCTAGCATCTCAAAGAGGAAAAAGGATGTCTTCATCGATCTGGCTTGCTTGGCAATTTACGGCTACTTTAATATATCTAAACTCGCCGTTAAACCCGTTGCTATACTACTGGGAGATCAGAGAGGTAAGGCAAGCTGTGAAAGAAACATTAGGGCAATTTTTTCGCTTATCGAGTTAGTTTGCCATGCTTTTACCTGTAAATCAATGCTACATTAAAGGTATTTATTTTTGCTTCCCTTGACAAATGAACACTCCCAAAGTCTTAAAGTAACTTACAACATATTCATTTTATGGTGATTTTCGTCTTCCCTAAATTATTAACAATTATTCCTCGAGCCCGAATGGGCTCTGAGTCCGCGGCAATAGCCCATGAGGCCGAAGGCCGAATGGGCTATTGACTCAGAGGTCATAAGGGCGAGAGGAATAATTGTGTAAGTAAAATCCAATTAGTTGGTCAAAAATATCGAGAACAGAAAAATTTTAGCTAGTTAAAGGTAGACTTTAATCCTTTTTTGCCGCCAAAAAGCCGGCGCTTTTCGCTACTAGTGGGCCATAACATATAGCCTAGTAGTAGCTCAGCCAATCAGAACGCAGCATTGATAATAGACGACTAGTTGGATTTTACTAAATTGTTTTATTCAACAGTGGATTTTGAAAAAGTAAATTGGGTAAATAGAATGCAGAGTGAAAAAAAACGTTCATAAATAGGTGACTTTTTATTCCTTTTTCATGTTTTTAATTAGTCCACAGAAAGATAGTTGGTGTTATTTGTAAGTTAAGGACACGTTGTATTAACAATAATAGAAAATGATTTTTTTGTCTGACAATGTAGTCACTTGTGATAAAAATTCTATTGCAGGGTTCTCTCCGAATTCACTAATAGGCCTTTATACCGATACGGCGGCCATATTGAATTAATTCGATTTAAGGAGTATTATTGGATGCCCAGGGGGGCAAGAGCCCATTTCGCTTGTATTTTCAAGCGCTTTCTGGGACATTTTTTCTCAAAGTTTCCTTAGAATAAGATTGTAATGGGAAAAAAGATCCTTGTACCGTGTTTGGATGTAATAATGATCGCCTTTTTATAGTTAAGTATTAGAAATATGGTCTTTCACTGTATATTTCTCGGCATAAAAGGCGATCATTATTACTCCTGAGTAGGAAACGTCGGAATCTGGCTCAGACCTATTCAAAGCCAGCTGAGAGTCCGATCCAGGGCGATGATCCTACGGGATCAGTCTCAGTTTGAGACGAAAACGAACTCGCTTTCGGCCAGAAGTCTGCTAATGTGGCGCGTAAACTACCCAGGGTTGTTCAAAACTCCCTAAGGGGAGCTAATAAACAAAACGTCTCTGAGACACCACCACCAAAGAGGCCTAGTAATGGTTCGTCGAACGAAGCTCTTGACCTTCATGAAACTTCCGCCGCGAAAGAGTCGGAAAACTTGGGCTCTGTTCGGCTTGCATTGCATAGGAGGCTTTCCAGTCGCGCGCTCTCAGAACTACACGAGCTGTGCTTTGAGCGTTCACGCCGCCCGATGAAGTTTCTTTGAGACATTCGAAACTACAGCCTCTTTCTATGACTGAGGATCGTGCAAATCCCTTTCAGGCAGCTCTGCAGGATGCGAAAAAGGAATCTTACCGAGCTTGTAAAGTAACGGTTTCAAACGAAGTTTTTCTCCGCTGCCGCGTCCAACTGGAAGTACTCTTTGTCGACATGCGGTCAACAGCTTGAAGATATTTTAGCTATCTACTTCCGAACTCCACTGGAGGAGAAGAACCATAAGGAACTTTTTAAACAGTTTCCAAAACCTAATGTGCCAACTGTGTCAGTCCCAGAGGTTGATAACTGACTCATTTTGGTTGGGGGTTGGGGGGGGGCTGTAAAACGGTCACGATTATCTTCAGTTCAGACTGTCTTCAGTCTGTCTTCAGTTGTAGCTTTTCAACAGTCCTGCAAATGATAGCGCTTAATCTTTTATTTTCCGTTTTTCATCATCAAAAATGCAAAATAGCTTTGCTTTTTTTTCTGCTATTAGTTTTAAAAAACCAATCAGTCAATTACTCAAGAGGATATTTAAAAATAAATCTGTCTTAGTGGTCAGATCAAGATTGAGCTAATAATTCATCAACTGTGAAAAATGTCTTCTAAAATAGCCAGTCCGTACATGATACTTTTTCACTGCCAAAAATGATTGGCGACCAAATTAAAGACATCCAGACTTCAACCATTAAAACCAACTTGTCCATTGAGAAAACAAACAGCTTTGAGAGCAAAGAAGAATAGTCAATTTTAGCAAGAGAGGATAAAGGGGACAGAGAAGGCATCCCCCATACACACCCTATTCCATAGGTAATTCGTCTCGAGTTATTTTTGACACCACAGATCCCAAGGGGGATTAGACCCATCACATAGCGCCAATGTGTTCCGCGTGGATGACCCACGCTCAGAGCCACGCGTCCTTCACGAATTGACGCAGAAAAAAATGGCGGAAGACGCGGAGAGCGATATTTCCATTCGTTTTGTTGACGAAAATGACTAAAGAGAGATTTCTGCTAAAGCTGTGTCAGCGAAACGGAAATTAAAAAAGAATCACCCTTCCTCTCTTGTATAGAGCTAACAGTACAGCAGAGAAATCCTTAACACACTGAACATTCTCTCAGGATCATTTATAATTTACAGTTTGAAGAGAGCGATTTCTGGTTTGATATTTATTCTTTTATTAGCCTTTTATCATTCAACAAAAACAACACTTGGCGTCCTACTTGCTTTATTGAACAAACGACCGGTTTCAATAGACCGGCGAAATTTCTCATTTTATTAAAGCACTGAGGTTACGACAACTTCGAGTTAAACTAATTTCTCGGGTTGTCAAAGAGTCCAGCAACTCCCTTTTCCCAGGTGAGCGCTGACCCATTTCGCTTCAATATTCAGAAATGCTCTCGATCTCTTTACGCTTTCATTGCCTTTCGCCCGACATGTTTTGCACGGCTTTAGTCATGCGAAACCTCCGCGAAAAATCCACGCAGCGCGCGAGGTAACTTTGTCCCGATTCTAAAAATAACTCGAGACGAATTACCTATGGAATAGGGTGTGTATGAGGTATGCCTTCTCTGTCCCCTTTATCCTCTCTTGATTTTAAGTATCAAACTGAATGAGAACACTTTGTAGAAGGTTTCTTTTCGACTAACTCTCCCAGTCTTTCAATTCCACGCTAGCGCGAGTGGATGCCCTTTGTTTCCGCACTGGTACCAGTGCTATAATATGAACTGTTCGTGATAAGCTAGGATAAGACTTTTAGCTTATAATGATACATGACGATTTTGTATGTTTGCAAATTGGAAAGAGAAGGATTATTTCAAAGTGTTGTGATAACGTGTCCTATGGCCTTTCTTAAAGATATAAATAGCATTGTTGTTCGTACAGGGAAATATCCTTCCTCTTTAGATAACAAAACTGTCTCAATATTAAATTAAAGTAAGCTGTGTCCGAAAACAGATTGGCTTTATTTGAGCAGTATTATTGGATAAGGCAAAACGACGTTGCCTTATTTCAATTGTTTTATTAAATTATATTTCTCCAGGTTGGTACTGACAACTAAATTAAATTTGCCCAGTGTGCGCGTGCCAGTGGTAGGAACTACATGTAACGAATTTAGCAATTTAATTACTACTGTAGGTAAAATTGTTTAAGTTATATACATGTATTAGCTGAGTCTAAAATGAGTTTCAAGTACAAAGAAAACCTTTTTAAAAAAAAACAACAAGAAGTTACTCAGATAGATGGATTATTCAGTCTTGTTAACTAAAGAAAGAAACACCCATTTGTGAATAGAAGAGATTTCATTACCTTGGCTGGTTACGTTCGCTAAACACGGGGATCATTTCGAGAAATATCTGTGCAAATTCTAAAATCGTTCTTTTCACTATCAATACAGACATTGCCGGAAAGGATGACAGGCACACGGAGTTTCTAAATTGTCATTTCTTCGGAAATAACGGATAAATTCTTGATTACAACAACAG